ACTGCGGGAGCAGAAAAGAATTCTACAACAGGATTCTCATCTGAATCTGAAGGGGAATGCTTCCAGATATGCTCCTACACATCGCTGTTAGGTTGCTTTGCCGTGATAATTTACAAGGGATGGCGGGGGGGGGGGTGTTGTCATGGACTCTGGTTGGCCCCCAGTCGCCTGGGGGAGGGGGTGTTTACTAATAGGGAACAGTGATCAAGACCCCCGCCCCGCCCGCAAGCCGCGTCGCTCACTCCCACCCGCCCTCCCAACACATACGTAGCACCCGAGTCCGGCCGTTGGATGGGCAGCTACGGGGGCCAATCCGCCGCCGCCGCCGCCGCCGCCGCTCCGCCGCGCCGCCGCCGCCGCTGCCCGCCGCCGCCGCCGCCGCCGCGCGCGCGCGCCAGCCGCACCGCCAGGCCGCCGCACCCGCCGCCGCCCCGCTGCCAAAACCGCCGCCGCCGCCGCCGCCGGCGGAGCCGCCGCCGCCGGCCGCAGCCGCTGCCGCACACACCGCCACGCGCCGCCGCAGCCGCAGCCGCCGCCGCCGCCGCCGCCGCCGCCCCCGCCGCCGCCGCCGCCGCAGCCGCCGCAACCGCCGCCACCGCCGCCGCAGCCGCCGCAGCCGCCGCCGCCGCCGCCAAGTGTACTTTGTATTGTTTTTTTCTCAGGGATGGTGGGGGGGGGCGCATCGGGTTGGCTGCGCATGTCCCGAATTTGGAGGGAGAGAGAGAGAGAGTGTGTGTGTGTGGTGTGTGTGTGTGTGGTGTGTGTGTGTGTGTGTGTGTGTGGTGTGTGTGTGTGTTTGCACTGTTTTTTCCACAGGATGGTGGGGGGGGGGGGGTCGTCATGGCCCCTGGTTGGCCCCCAGTCGCCAGGGGGAGGGGAGTGTTCATGAAGAGGGAGCAGTGCTAAACTCTTCCCCGAAGGGGAACAGGGGTTTTTTGGAAGAGGTAAGAGAGACATCGTTAGACCACCTGCGCCCAGAGAGCTGATGGGATTATGGTCGCATGTGTTGTGCCAATGAATTTGGTATTCTTCCCCATATATCAAGGATTGGGGTTCTTGTTATTCCTCTGACGCCTCCCACTCCTCCTCCTCCTCCTCCTTCTTCCTCCCGCCTCCCGCCTCCCTCCTCCCAATGATAATCGCCAGATAAGACAAGACAAGACAAGATACTACAAGATAAGATAATATAGCACAATATATGATAAGGTAAGATAAGATATATGACAAGGTCGGATAATAGATAAGATAAGACAGCCTGTGGAGTAATAAGATAAGACAAGATATGATGCGATAAGATGAGTTGACATAAGATAAGCTAATACAAGATAAGAGATTTCAAGATAAGATAAGATAGAGGGTAATAAAGGTAATATAAGATAGGGCTCGATAAGATAAGATGAGACTCACTCTCACTCAGACTCACTCACAGTCACATTCACTCACACTCACACTCTCTCATGATCACAAAACGCTGCCAGGGGCATCATTTGGGAGCCCCCAAGGGGGAAGCCGCCCTGGCTGAATCCTCACGAGCCCGTTCGCGCCGAGTTTTGAGGGGGACGCCTCACTAGAATTGCCGTTTGGCGCCCAAAAAAAAAAACAACGTATCTCTTGAGAGCCTCATGGTCGCAAAACAACGCTGCCAGGGGCATCACTTGGGAGCCCCAAGGGGGAGCCACCCTGGCTGATCTCACGAGCCCGTTCGCGCCGATTTTGGTGGGACGTCTAAGCTAGAATTGCCGTTTGGCGCCCCCAACATGTATCTCTTGAGAGCCTCATGGTCACAAAACGCTGCCAGGGGCATCATTTGTGAGCCCCAAGGGGGAGCCACCCTGGCTGTTCTCACGAGCCCGTTCGCGCCGATTTTGGTGGGACGTCTCAGCTAGAATTGCCGTTTGGCGCCCCGAACATGTATCTCTTGAGGGGCTCATGGTCACAAAACGCTGCCAGGGGCATCATTTGGGAGCCCCAAAGGGGGAGCCACCCTGGCTGTTCTCACGAGCCCGTTCGCGCCGATTTTGGTGGGCGCCCCTTCCGCTTAGAAATT